ATGATACAAGAGGGGGGGGGAATACCTGGCTGGAAAACCTCGAGCAGGCTGTTAAAGCTGCAGTGTCCCCATGGCCCCGCGCGCGAGGATTCGGGAGGGTGGGGCAGGGGGATGGTGTCACCCCCCCCCTGTTGTCACCACGTGTCACCCCCCCGTGGTCACACACACCCCATCCGGGCTCCAGCCTGAAAATTCCACGTCCTGGCACCGGCGAACGCCGTTCAAAGGGCTTTTGCAAGGTTAATTCCAAAATTCTTAGCCTCCTAGTGATACGTTTATCTGATAGAAATGGGTTCTACTACAGCTTTAACTAGCCTTAGTTTAAAAAAAAAAAAAAGAAAAGAAGAAAAAAAAAAAAAGAACCTTGTTGTTACAAAAAGCCTAAAGGTGGCATTTTGAGCCTATAAACAGTTTCTTTAAATCGTCAGCCTCTAGCATTGTTAACCAAATTAGAATAGTGACTGCAATATTTAAGTGTAAATCTTGTTCTATGAGAAAGGGAAACTTGCTTACGGTTTAAAAAAAAAAAAAAAGAAGTGACTGTTTCTACACACAATCTTGTATACTACTACGTGAGGAAAAAGGGGGTTTTGTAATGCACTGTAGAACAGTCTCCTATTCATTTTTTTATAGAAATGTTATTCCAATGGTGCATTTTTTTGTTTAATAAATAAAGTTTTGATACAAATTACCTCTCTTGGTCTGGTGCGTTGTGGGTATCGGTCCCTGTGTCCCGGGACAACCCCGCGGCTCCTGTCCCACCACGCGATGGTTTGGTCAGTGTTGGGTTGATGGTTGGACTCCATGATCTGAAAGGTCCCTTTCAGCCTGGAAAGGGATTTATTCCAGCAGTTGCCAAGACTCGATGATGAGGAAAAAAATGGGAAAATACTGGGATCCAACCCATCGCCGTCACCGAAGTCACACCTGGACACGGGATGTTTCCTCTGCTTTTATTTCCAGCCAGTTCCCAACAGGCTGAAGCACCAGGATGGATGGATTTGAGGGATCTGCAGAGCCTCGTCCTGCAAAAGAAGAAAATAAATGAATTTTGGCTTTTTCTAGCACCAGGCACTGCCTTACCAACGTCCTCTTCAGGAGGAGGCAGGACTTCGACGCATAAAAACACCTCTCTGAGTAAGTAATTCTATTTTAAAAGCAGTTCCCCCAGCTGAGGAGGCAGAGCTTGACAGCCCCACCAAAGCTCCAGCTGCCTTTCTGCTGAAATCCCAACCCCCCATGCCCTTCACAAAGTGTATTATAAAAATAATCTTTTTTTTTTTTCCTTTTTTTTCCCTTTCAAACATCAGAAACTGTTGCTTCGAAGCCATCCAAGTATTCCCCTGAAACATATTGTATTTTAGGGGATACGCTCAGGAACTGATCACAATGTTTTGTTCCAGTCCTCTTTCAATATGGCAAAGTATTTGGCTCTGCTATAAATATTTTGACTTTTTTTTCATGTGGCGTGCTTTAAAGCTACATATGTTCCAACTGATATTATAATGCCAAAGTCCAGATGTAAAAGGCAGAAGAAAACGTTCTGGCTCTGCTGAAATTGAAAGGGAGCAACCCAAATACCTTCACAATATTTCCTTTTAAAGAAATGTATTAATTTTTCATTTTTTTTTTACTCCAGTTTGCGACAAAAACAGGTTTTGGCTCCGTTGAGGAATAACAATTCCGTTTGCCAACAGCCTTAAACCAATATGCTCTGCTGCATCTGCTGGTGCTGGTGTCCCGGGCAAGATGTCCATCTGTAGCAACCAAGTGAGAAGCAACCAACCTTCCTTCGTGTCACCCCTGGCTTGGTGGCATGATGACCAAACACCTGCAGACACCTGGGCTTCATCCTGAGACCCCAAACGTCCCTCAGACAGGAGATGTTGTGCCCTGGCTGGGGGTGAAGCTCCAAGCAGAGCAACGGGTTGAGGTTCCTTCCCCTTGGACAACTCCTGTGCTCTCCCATCCAGCTGACCTGGTCCCTCAGACCACAATGAGATACAGTGGAGCTTTTATCACATGAGCAACAAACCTACTTCAGGTCAGGTGGGAACAAGCTTTTTTGGTGTACTTGCAGAATTTATCCATTTCTTGAGGTCTGCACACCCATTCTTTCAGCAGGTAGGGATGTCAGCTTTGGAAGCCCACCAGCCATTGTTTGAAACCGGGGGATGGTGCAGCACTTAATGCCACATTCCTTGTCATGTGGGAATTAATGTGAGTGGTTTTCTTACCAAGGAACTGAGCAGAGAGCGTGGACAGAGCAGGTGGATCAAGCAGTGGCCCCAGGATGTGCCAGGAGGATGCTGGTGGGACCACGACACGTGGCCTTGGGTGATGGCCAAGGATTTGCTAACGAGGGCAGTGGGAACCACATGGCAGATGTCTTCTTTAAGGCCTGACGTGTGGTGGCATGGGATGTCGGAGAGCCTGAGCCCTCTTCTTGGTGGTGTGTTAAACCCTTGATTCCTTCGCTCTCCCTTGTTGACTTGGAGGAACTTCTCAACAACACTGGATCTTGCGGAGAAATGGGGATTCATGGAGATGGAGTTCCAGTCAAAACCAGTCTGAAAAATAAGAGCAAGACAACAGCCTGGTGCTGCTATTTCAGATGCTTAATTGTTGGCTGTTGGAGATGGATTCCATGCCTTGTTTCGCCCCCACAGCCCCCCTGGGCTTTGATCATCACCCCACAGCTACCCTCAGGAAGCTTTTTCTCCCTCTCATCACCTTCTTTTCCATGAAAAATTGCTAAGGCAAATGGGAATGACTATAAAACCCTGACAATGTAAGGAAAGGAAGGTCATTTCTCCAACATAATGACAGTGCAGGTTAATGTGTATGTTAATTTTAAGCGTCTGGGCACAAGCTGAAAGAAGGGATGGATTATCTAATTTAACAAATTACAGCCTTTCTCAACTCCGCAATAAAATGCTGGGTTGGTTGTTTTTTTTTTTTATTTGGACAATACCAAATTTAATTTATCACGTTTGGACCATAAAGAAAAATTAAAAAAAAAAAAAAAAAAGAAGTAGGCATGTAAAATTCAGTATCATTTCATTCTGACAATGTGCTACTCGGCCTCCCAGCACCCTGTGCCAGACATGAATATTTGAGTAGCCAAGGAGGAGCAGCGTGAGCTGGGAACATAATGATGGGTGTAGCTTGAGCAGATCTTGCAGTGCTGGCACAGGAGGAGGTCTCTGCTCACCAGGGCAGAGCCCAAAAGGGTGGTGTGATGGGGGATGCACCAGGAGCCTCTTCCCAGGGGATGGTATTGGAAAAGAGGGCTCTTCCAGTTCCTCAAGGGGCTCCAGGAAAGCTGGGGAGGGACTCTGGATCAAAGAGGGGAGCCATAGGAGGATGGGGAAGGGTTTGGCACTGGAAGAGGGGAGATTGAGATGAGATCTGGAGAAGAACTTTGCTGTGAGGGTGGTGAGAGCCTGGCCCAGGTTGGCCAGAGAAGCTGGGGATGCCCCATCCCTGGAGGAGTTCAAGGATGGGGCTTTGAGCAATCTGGTCTGATGGGACGTGTCCTTGCCCATGGCAGGGGGTGGGACTGGGAGGTCTTTAAGGTCCCTTCCAACCCTTCTATGGTGCCCCACCACTGCTCTGCTGAACACACATGGACCAGGGATGGGGAGATGATTGAAGAGCAATGTTGGTCTCCCCACAACTAACTGCTCTGGTCCAGCCCTCTCTCCAGCCCTTGCACTGAGCTGGAATTCCCCCAAATAAGCAAGAAGAGGTGTTTTACCTTCCCTAAGACATGTGGACATCGTGTGACAATGCTTTTCAATCAAAAAAATCAAACTGCTTTTCAATCAAAACAAATATTATTATAGTTTCAATGACATTCCCTTCACCCAATGAAAAACTTTGAGTTTACTAAAAAATAATTTAAAACTTTTAAAAGCTAAATTTAATTGATTACATCTGATTAGAAACTTTCTGACAGATGGGGGAAAAACTCAAACCAAGGTGTGCAACCAGGATATCCTAGGAGGGGGACAGAAGTACAGCTAGATGCCTCCTTGGAGGCCAGAGGAGTTGAAATGTTCATTTATGGAGCAAGGATTTTAACGGCCCCGATATGTCGATGTAAACAAGGGGTCAAGGGTGCAACCCCAGGAGAGAAGAGGTGGTGGTGGCCTGGTTTGTCCCCACAGGCAGCACCAAGAGCTCTGACACCAAACCTTCTTTACTGAAAGATGGAAGAGGAGATGAAAAGCTCCAGCACCACAATAATGACTGGAGGGCTGGAAACGGTACCTTTCTGGGCCTTAAAATGCTCTGGTTTGTTAATTTTTTGAAAAAGAGGATGACAAATCGATTTGATGACAGTGCTGCAACCTAATGGCTGTTAAATCTGAGCTGAGGGGTGGAAAGGACCTCAAGTTCCTCCAGGGGAGGTTTAGGATGGATATTAGGAAAAAATTTATTCCCAGAAAGGGTTGTCAAGCCTTGGAAGAGGCTGCCCAGGGCAGTGGTGGAGTGTCCATCCCTGGAGGGATTTAAAAGTTGGGTAGACTTTGTGCTGAGGGACATGTTTTTGGCATTTTGGTCTGATGGCTGGACTTGATGATCTTAAAGGCATTTCCAACCAAAAAGATTCTATGATTCTACAACTAGGGCTGAAAGCTGAAGTAAAGAAAACCCAAATTAGAGGCTGAGACACTCTGTCCACGGCAGGGAGAAGGGCTGTGCCTCTGAAACCACCTGAACTTCTTAGTATCAATAACTACAAGTGATTGTTTTAATTTTAAATTGGCTGTAGGAGCTGCAATACATTAATGTCCAGCTAAAGGAATGCCTGATGCAAGCATAAATCTTCTGAAATATTTATAGCACACGTGTCTCAACATGTCCTGTATTTATAGGCAAACCATTTAAATGAATATCTGATAAGGAAAAAGACTATTAAGTTGGGAAAAATCTTCCCTTCCCAGCAGGGCTACAAGGAGTATT